ATCGGCCATTTTGTTAAGAGTACTCTTTAAGTTAGAAACTTTATTAGGTTCACAATCACCTCCCGTCGCTTCGTAAATGGCACGAGGAATTCCAAACAAACCAGCATGGCAGAGGATATTCGTGCTTCTTCTGCGTCGAGCTTTTCCTTTTAACCAGGTTTCTTCGTGAGGAGAGATGTGATCACAGCGCTCTAAAGCCCATGCTTTGCAATGAGCAAGGCTAGCGTTAAAGGCAAGAGGGCAGTTCATCTTTGGCTTTAAGTTGGTCTCTGCGTTGAAGTAGCGTTTGAGGTAGAGGTCACACTGAATTAGGTTAGTAAGTCCTTCGAGTGAGCCTAGTCGTTGAATAAGAGTTTCTAATTCTTGAAGTCTTTGGAGAAGGTAATCAGCGACGTCAGGAAAAAGGTCATTGGTGAAACAGGGCTTCACGTGGGATGATATCTTTGYTAGTTTGATAGCGGGAAGGTTAACGCGGAGGTGAACGATTTTAGTGTCATTATAGAAGATGAGGGGTCGCGGTTTTCGAGCGATCATCATAGCTTGTGGGTAGAATCTGATTTGGTCATTAACGGGATCCAAACGTTCAAATGGAGGTACGGCAAACGTCAGTGTTCCGGCAAGAAATATCCAGAACAGATWACTTGGAAGCTGCATATTGCTGGATCTAAAGGGCTAGAACATTTTATCAGTGTATCAGCCATTTCTAATATATTAACATAACAAAGAAAAAAGAATAACAAACGGAGATAAGATACATTTTTTTTTAATGTACTAGTACAACAGCACTAGCACAATCCCAATGATAGATGTATACAGATAGGTTATGTGGTGAATATAGGAACGTTATGAGAGTAAATATGATTAGAACGGAACACAGTAGGCACAGTGGAATATATGTGTGCTTTATTGTGTGTTTGTGTTTGATTGTAACTTAAAAGGGGGCCGTGGAGTCAGTGTTACGCCCCAGTCTGACATTACCGCGCGCCTTAACAAAAGGTCCCTCAACCGAATATTAGGGTCGGATAACAAGGCGCAAGGTCTCTTTTTGGTTCAACAAGTGCAGTACCACCAGGATCATATGGGAATTGAAGCGCACAGGTCACAACTGTTTCGGTATGTGGTTCCAAAACAAAGGAATCTGTGGCCTGTACTTTACATCGTTCAGGTAACTCTGGCGGAAGGGCTTGCTCTTGCTCAGGCAGTTCAAGTGAAAGAGACTTGAAGTCAACAGTGGCTCGGTAGTGCTCAAGAAAATCACGACCTAAAATAACTGAGTGAGAAAGACTATCAGCTACAAGTGTCGTAAATGGGAATAGTTGGCCATCAATAATAAATGGAATTTCTGCTTTGCCAAGGACTGGAATCGAACCACCATTCACGGAACGCAACTCGTGAGTTGGTTGTGGAACGAGGGGATAATTATTCAGCTCAGGAATAGCATCATATAAATTTGCATTGATTACTGTTGTCACGGCTCCTGTATCAACCAAGAATGAAAGTCTTGTGTTACCTATGCGTCCACATATACATAAATTAGACGTATCTTTGGAGAATGAAATATTATTCACATCTGTG